TACTATCCGCCATTGAACAAGCAAACCAACTGGAATAGAAAACAAACAGTCCTTAAGATTTGAGACCAAAAAACATAAGTCTGTAGAAGCAGGATGAGGACTGTATTTAAGACCATGGCTACGGAGCCACCCCCACTGTCTACCCTTGCTGCACCTTTTTTTCCCCCCTCTGCACACTTGAGAGAGAAGATAGACATAGGATTGGAGACATCCTCTCAGTGCAGAAGAACATGTGTCATGCAGAACTGTACTAGCTCTCAGGAATGGCCTCCACTCACACTTAGGAGGAAGCACAACAGCTTTGTGCAACTTGTACCTCAGCATTCCTTGCCTGAGGGAAAACGTCACTATGGAGAACAGTCAACCCACCTGCACCTGGCCTATTACTTTCTGTCCCATGCAGTCATGACCATGTGAGTCTCTCACAGTATAGCTGCTATAGTCCCTGAGGCCAGGGTGGGAGAATGTGCTGGAAACACAGCTCCTTCCCGGTATATCTGTGCCCTTTTCCTTCCCAATCGCCTTCCTGTTGCTCTGTGCAGAAGATAGGAACATGTCACCCTATATGTTTAATAATGTGTTAAATTCTCAACTAGACATGCCAAATGCCTAATATACACTGAATCCACCACCTTATTCGTCCCCCTTGTACTTAAATAACATACCATAGTACTATAACTATCCTATTCAAACACTAATCTTTGGTGTGAACCAGAAAGTTCTTCTCAAATTTCAAAATGATCCAATACAAACACACTTCACAAGTTAAAACCATTTATAAAATCTTGCTTTCAAAGGTATTGAAATAATGTGTAACAGACAAAATTGCAGTGGTGATGGTAAGATCAATTTTCAAAATAGTGGGCCAGATTCTGTTCTCCATCACTCATCTCCTCCAGACAGCTGTATCTGGCTCTATGTCTCTACCCTCTCTCCAGCCCTCACACATATTCTGAAATGTTTTAACTATATTTCAATAATGCAAATAGTGAGATCTTTAAAATTGTTCTATTAAAACATGCACTAAATAATTAAGAACCTACACTACAGATTGGAAGTTTTATATGAAAAAACATTGTGTGTGTGTGTGGGGGGGGGGATGCTAGCTACTTCTGAAGTCTTGCAGGTTGTTTCCGTTAGGAGGAGAAATTGATGGAATCCCGTTTATTTACAAATGTACACAAAGTCGTCTTTCCCTGAAAACAATGGGCATCAAATATGAGGAGACAGTTTCTTTGCTAACAGTTCCTAGCCTCTTTCCAGCTAGCACTCTGTCCAAAAAAGCTCTCTTTGGCATTCTCTCTCAGCCACGTTACCAGTGTTTCTCTTGTTCTTCCAGATCAGTATCAATCTGCCCATGTCCCCGCATAAATTCTGAAACACACTTTAACTGTACTTTAATAATGCAATTAGTGAGGTATTTAAAACTGAGCTATTATATACATTCACTAAGTAATTAAGAACCAACCCTATAGATTGGAAGATTTATATTTTTAAAAATTACTTCTTTTCCTGAGCAGTTAGCCATTTCAAGGTCTTGCAGATTGTTTCCATTAGGAGGAGAAATTGATGATAGAATCTGGGATTTCTTGGATGAAATCCTGTTTATTTACAAAGAATGTGCACAAAGTCTTGTTTCCGTGAACACAAGGAATCAAATAACAGGAAACAGTTGCTTTGCTCACAGTTCTAGTCTCTTTCCAGTTAGCACTCTCTTGGCTTTCTCTCAGGGTCATCTTACCAGTGCTGCTCTTCTTGTCTCTTGGTTTTCTGCTGCCTCTGGCTGCTTCTGCCTCACAGACACACACAGCTCCACCAAACAATACACAGGCCCTGTGCCTGCAATCCCCAGTCAAAAGCTCTCAGACCTCAAGAATCAGCTCCTACTCCATCCTTGCCATGCTGATCTGTGATTTGGGTAGTCGCTTTTATTGTTTCAACTATCACTAAACAAAGGAGCATTTAATTCCTCCTTCATTTAGCCTGAATGACAGGCCGCTATCATGCTTACCAGCTTCAATGAGGTTTGTGACTGCCCATAAAGACACTCTCTCCAGGAACCACACAAACTCCACCATAACTGTATTAATTTTTCAGTGCCGTGATTGTTTATTAGAAACGAATTCTCTGCCCTGCTCTGGCAGAGAGCTGCAAAGGGAGCAGAGACTGATGGAAGACCCCAACTCGAATTACCACAGGTGTGGGACAGTCCCCATCGGAAGGGCAGCCAGAATAGTCTGTACCACCCTCTTCTGCCCCTGTCATGGGTGAGCAAAAAGGAGTGGCTGGAAAGCGATGCATTCTGGCAAGCCTCAGCTGTCAGATGGTGCCGGGGACCACAGCCAACTGGTGCAGGTTGGACCAGCCTCCGGACTGCTCTGTTTTGTGATTGCATCAAGATTGGGCAGGGAGTCAAGCAGCCAGGACTTTATATATTTTTTAAATAGTCTATGGACACCTCTTAAGGAAGATACAAAACTGCTTGTGTAAACTTTATTTCAAGTATTAAAGGAAATCATTAATACAATCAGTTCAATGAAGTGCTGCTTTATAAAGCTGAACAAAACAGCAAGGAAATAAACTTCCAAACTCATGAATAAATACACTGATCTCACTCATATTACACACACCCCTACCCTTTGCATTTGCACGCTTTGGCCCTGGTCACAACCAGTAAAGTTAACAGAAATTCCACTTGCAGGATTGGTCTCCACTATATTAGGGCTAAATCATGCATTCCTTACATAGGCAAACTCTTCAGGTATGTCTACACTACAAACGCTACAGTGGCACAGCTACACCGCTGTAGGAGAGACACTTACTACAGCAACGGAAGGGGCTTTTCTGTCACTGTAGTAAAATCAACCCAGTGAGAGGTGGTAGCTAGGTCCATGGAAGAATTCTTTCATGAACCTAGCTGAGTCTACAGTGCAGGTAAGGTCAACTTAAATAGATCGCATGGCACATGAAATTTTTCACAGTCCTGAGCAATGAAGCTGATTACTTTAACTGATGTGTGCAATGCCTAAATAATACTGCACCTTCACTATGTAAATCCTACAAGGTACAGATGGTACTGCATACACTTCTTTATGTCCGTTTGCAATAATGTTTCCCTATTATTTTGACGTGTTTCTAAAAGAAATAATTTTCTCTGCCAAGAGTTTGGTTACATAAACACACATCTGTCAAGCTCAAGATCAAAAGATTTTCATCCTTTAATTGTATTGTAATCTGACGCAAGTTTTAGGTGTAGAAAAGCCCTACTAGGCAAAACTTCTGGGGATGTTTGAGTAAGAATTACAGGATTTGGTCCTTCGTGTGTAAGCAGTTTAGCTGCTGTGCCTGTATGTAGATACGGAGCCTAATTGTCTTCTCGGACTGGTGTAAGTAAAGAATCAGGAGTAACTCTGTTGAAAACACAGCTGTGCTAATGTCATTTCTCACACTGGTAAGCCAGGACTCAGGAGTCACTCTATTGAAATCAAGACTATACTAATGCAAAACTGGGATAAGAAGAGACTCAGGCTCATAGTATTCTATATAAGAGTCCAGGATTGTCACTTGGTCTGTATGTCACTCTGAAGCCTAGAATGTCTGTTGAGTCAATGTGAAGTGATGGAAACAGCTACAAACGGGGCTGAAAGCACTTTTTGTTTAGAATATCATCAGGTTGAATCATCACTGGGATTAGTGCTCCATTACCATCCAATTTTTAAGTTCTCAGCCACACGTCTTTACAAATTACACCCGTGTGACAGCATGGGCTTTCAGCTACTAGTAGATACATAATACAATACAAAATTGTATTGTGCTGAATTGGGATAGTCAAGCATTTACAGAAGTAATCTAAAATGTCCCAGGTTAATTAAGTTTTGCTCAGTTTGACTGTAATCGTACCTAGAACTAGTGAAATACAAATGCTGAATTTTACAGCCAACATGCACCATGCTTATGAGTGCACTGGGCTGGATTCTTGACAGTAGTTACAGATCACAATTTTTGCTTTATACAACATTAATGAATGCATTTCCAGTCCTTTCTGTTAAGGGCTAAACTGTAGCAGGCTTATCTGGTCATGAATAGTAAGTAAGGAGTCTGCCACCCTCTTGAATGCCCTGATACATTCTGCACCTGAACTGCAGATGTGGTGCTGGAACTGCTGTGTGTGTTACTAACTTTCAATTCTGGAGACCTGAGGTTAAAATGCTGTTCCCACTGATTTCAGTGGGAGGTTTGGGCCTGTGGAAGAAAAGGGAAATGAAACTGATTACCTCATCTTCCTCCCATTTTGATACATCACAAAACTACTGAACAAACTTTTCAGTAATTGAGAAGAGCTACTTAAATTCAAGTAAATGTGTTGCATGGCAAAGCAAAAGGAAAAAAAACACACAGTAAATGCAGCTGCCTAATAATTACAATCATTACATTGTAGCAGCAGTAAAAGTCTTTGCTGACTGGATCCCTATTAGTAACATTTCTGAAAGGCATTACATCAAAATGTTTTTAAAAAGGGGATGAAAAGCCTGTCCCAACTAAAGTCAATGGCAAAACACCCCTTAATTTCAATAGGGCCAGGATTTCACAGATTTCACCAAAAGTCAAATTATACATTATATTATCATTAAAAACTCTAGGCGGTCCTATTCTTTCACAAAGCAAACTAACTCAGGGCCTATCCAAAATCTTTCCACTGACTTCAGTGTGCTTTGGAACAGATTCTTAAGGAATCAGTGAAACTGAAGAAGGGTGCAGGAGGTGAATCAATGTTTTAACTGTGCGCTCCAAACAGACTTACTTTAACTGATGTGTGCAATGCCTAAATAATACTGCACCTTCACTAATGTAAATCCTACAAGGTACAGATGGTACTGCATACACTTCTTTATGTCCGTTTGCAATAATGTTTCCCTATTATTTTGTCGTGTTTCTAAAAGACAAATAATTTTCTTTGCCAAGAGTTTGGTTACATAAGCACACATCTGTCAAGCTCAAGATCAAAAGATTTTCATCCTTTAATTGTATTGTAATCTGACCAAGAGAACAGAATTATGATAAATCAAATCTTTTAACTACCCAGCTGTTATCACAGAGGCGACAATGTTTTGTAGAAGTAAACTCATTTCTTTCAAATATATGGCCAAAAGTATTGCTCAATTTTTTTAAATTAACCTGATTTGTTTCAAATTTATAAGTGCAATCAAGTTGCCGTCTCTGGAGGTAAAATGTATTTCTCTGTAGCAGGTATTAAAATGAGATCCAGGTCCATTATAATGTAATTGAATGGAAATCTGTCAGATTAATGGGCCAATTCTACAGAGGTAACATAGGATAAATCACTGTAAGGTAAGCTAAGCATTTTGGCTTTCTGCCACTTGCAGTGCACAACATGAGTTTAATTATGAAACTTGCAACAAACAATTCTACAGATCGCTATCCTGTACTATGGGATGGATGTTCAATCAAAAAAATAAACTTGCTCAAATGGAGAAAATATACCAGTAAAAACAGGGGTATAATTGTAAATCAATGCTTTGGTCTCTTCACCCTTATTAGGAAAATGGTGCAGGCTCTTCCGGGCTGTAAAACATTTTAAAAGAACAGATTACTTCACTGTCATCATCAATGATAGTATCTTTCTTGGTGAAATCACTTATTCCATATAGGATTATAGTAAGCAGTACGGTAATAATTTAAATTTGTGAGGAATATTATGGAGCTAGCTTTTCCAAAGATACTGGTAACAGGGATACTTTATTATCATGGAAGAATATGTTAGTTTTTAAGAGCAATCGCTGCTGCCAAAAACTTGATTCTTGCAGTACTGGAGACCCATGCAACACCAGAACTAATCTATTGCAATACTAGCCTATTAGATATGAAAATGTTGGGAAAGATTGTAGTTGCAAGGAAAACAAAATCCTACCAATTCCGTTTTTTGCATCTGGGACTAGGCATATGTTAAAATTAACATGAAGTCATAAGAAATATCATTGATGAAAAGTAAATTCTATTTCAGCAGACTGGGCTGGCTGTTAAATACTCATAGATGCTGAGTATAAGTCTCCATTGGTCAGCAAATATTTTGTGTTTCTTTCCCCGCATTTTATTTTTATGGTCAGGAGAAAATAGGCACGATGGATTCTGATCTATATAAAAAATGTTCAGGAGGCAGTGTTGGCCTATATAGCATTGTTGTCAATCTGGTCTGAGGACCCTACCCTTCCTGGGCTGCAGAAATTTTTTTAGCCAGCGGGAGTAATGGCTGTAGAGATATACTGTGAGGATTAACTACTGTACCTTAAGTATCAGGGGGTAGCCATGTCAGTCTGTATCCAGAAAAAAACAACAAGGAGTCCGATGGCACCTTAAAGACTAACAGATTTATTTGGGCATAAGTTTTCGTGGGTAAAAAACACACTTTTTCAGATGCATGGAGTGAAAATTACAGATGCAGGCATTATTATACTCAGTATATTATTATAATACCTGCATCTGTAATTTTCACTCCATGCATCTAAAGAAGTGGGTTTTTACCCACGAAAGCTTATGCCCAAGAAAATCTGCTAGTCTTTAAGGTGCCACCGGACTCCTTGTTGTTACTGTACTTTAAGGGATTAACACAGAAGAGTTTATGGTATGGCACAAGAGGCAGAGTGACACCGCTAGGCTGGACTGCCTGTTGCACTGCAAGAGGAAAGTGTATTGGTCTTTCTCTGAGCCTGGAGAGAGTTTCCTACTTACTTTTGTCAATTGCTCTACTATAATTACCCCGAATAAAACAAAACTCAGAAAGCTTCTGGAAATAAAATCTTCCATTCATTATCTCATTCTACCTACTTTGCCCAAGGCCGAGTGAGACTGGGATGTGAATAAGAGTTTTGAGTTCACCTAGAGTGCAGCCTTAACAATTCTAAAGTTTCATCGGTTTTTGGTGTCTGCTCAAACGTTTATATCAAATTAAAAATTGACACTCTTCTCCTGGCAAATTACTCTCTACTGAAAGGAGTTTGTATGCTTCCATCAGAATGCTTGGCTTTTGTTGTTTCTTTTGCTTAACCATTCTATTTAAAATGTCCCTCCTTTAAATAAGCCTTTAAAGCTTGCATAGTATGTGCTCATAGATCATAGGTATAGTATTTTGACACTTTGAAAGGGGGGCTTTTTTCCTCTCAAAGAATGTTCCACTGTTTTCTCTCTCTGAAACTGAATTTTATTAATATAAATGAAAAAAGAACTATTTACCTTCATTCACTAAGAAGTCAGCTACGTAATATGCAACTTTCATAGCTGATGCAGAATGTGGTATGCCTGATGAGTTCTTCCATTCAAAAGGATTTTTCTCTGGATGCCACTGGACACCATAAATTGGGTATTTATATGCTGTGTAAACAAATTTTCCATCAATGCATGTAACATTTAGGCCTTCACTTAAATTGTGGCATGCACAATTTTATTACAATGAACACATTACTAGAGATCTCACTATATCTCACATATAATTTGACTTCTATAATGGGACCAAAAAGCCTTAAGCAACTTGTAAAATGTATTCCTACCTAAAACTTCACATACAAGATTTCAGCCCAAGAACAATAATGTTTACATTTAAAAAATAGTTTGGTCAATTATACATTATAAGAAATTAGAAGTTATAGTGAGATGTGCTAAATGAAAAAGGGTTTAATTCTATGCAAACAAATTTCTGCAGGTCACTGTTCCACCATTGTAATCTGATTGCTTTAGCTGCAATATATTTACAAAAAATGAAAAATTGTTTCATTATAAAAAATAAGAGAGTGCTAGAAGTGTTGTGCTAGCCAGTGGATTACCCTGATGGGCAGCATGCAGCCCCCGGGCCGCAGGTTGCCTACTACTGCTCTAATGAATCAAAACAGATGTTTCTGGAGTTCAATATGCCAGGTAAAGGCACAGGCAATGCAGGAGTCTTTTGGAAGACAGCAATTACCAGAACTGTGGCCAAAGGAATGGGGGATACTGCTGGCACCTCACTAGCATGAATGGCTCTCCCTGTACTACAACCACGGATAAGAGAGCAACATGGAGAGGCAGTATCTGTAGACAGCCAGCAGTGGAAGTGCAGACTAGACCTGTTGCGCTGAGGAAGGGTTTAAGCTACAGAAACTGGAGTGGTGTTTCCACGTCTTGTCCCACAGATCTGAAAATATTTCATTTGGTAAAGTGTGTTAACATATCTAGGTGTGGAGCAGTGGGGTGAAAGACAGAACAGTCATACTCTGAAACATGCACATCTAAAGTAAAGTGCAAAGGTGTAAGTTATCTTCAGACAGAGCATATTCTAATCAACCACAAGGCAGGCAGTGCTGATATTTAACTCCTTATCCTAACATTAAAATTAGTAACACCACCGCCACGCTCACTATCTTCCACACAAAAAACAAACAAACCCTCCCCACACCCCCAAAAAACCCCAACCCCACAAAACCCATCACAGTTTACATGTTACACCGATCACTACCTTCCATTGTCGATATAAACTCCACGTCTGCATGGGTGTTAGTTGTCAGAACCTTATAGAAATTGCGTAGCTTCGCATTCTGTGTGAAATTCTGCATTAAAAAATGACAGAAAAAAATGTTTTTTTTCTAGATTTAACAGAGTAAACTCATTTTGGTTCATTCAATCAAATAATCAAATACCTGCACGGAGAGGCTCCAGTGATGAAAGTGTGCTGTCAAAGACTCAGTGGCAAGTTTTTGCAACAAGTCATCTGGAAAATTCTTGAACATCCTGCTGTCTTTTGCAGCTTGTACAAAAAAGACAAAGGAATATTCTCACTACCAGGCTGCCAAAGGAACATCATTATTAGGATGGGGATAAATGTGATGAAGTACTGGCTGAATTCATTTTAATTCCTTTTGATTCTGTTCTTTCACTGATTTTTATTAATCAATAACACAATATAAACATACCCCAGGAATAAATCTAGAATACAGCTATGGCAGAGTGCAGTCTAGCAATTCTCACTAGACCATATGCTGCAGCCCTGACCCACAGAAGGCCCAATTCTGCCTCCTTTGCTCACACTCATTAGACCCATGTTCTACCATTAATTTCAATGGTGTGGTGAGGTACTACTTTGTGTAGTTAGGAACGGCAGAATTTTTCTAAATAAGGCAAGGCAACAGGATTTAGTCCATTGATTAATTACTGCAATCAATGGAAGAAATCCTGCTTATTGCTGCTAGAGAAAAAAACATAAAAAGCATCATTCAGAGCCAGCTTCTGCCACCCTTATGCTGAGTTGCATCTCATTTTGCAAGTAGTCCCACTGATTTCAATACTATATATTATAGTATATAAGGATCCAGATTTTTCATTCAGCTCATTACAGAGTTAGGGGGCTGGATCAAAATTATGGATCTAGGACCAAACTTTCCCAAAGTTCATAGCTTTTCAGATCCATAATTTTGGTCAGGCTCATGACACGCAAATAGTTTGCTCTCAAACCTCTAATTTTTCAGTCATAGAATTTTATTGGCTTTCTTATAGAAGAAACAATATCAATATTATAAAAATATTAGTCACCTATTTCAAATCTTCAACCGTAAATATTGGTTTATTACAAGAAAAAAGATTCTTGTGAATCCAAATGACATTAGCAGTGTAACAGGATTGTTCACCTGTAGTAAAGTTCAGTGGGAGTGCAAAATCCTCAGTATTAGTCCAAGTCAGTAAAATCTCCCCACTGGTGAGGTATGTAAGCTCTTCATATCCCAGACATGTTCCCCATACAGGAAAATAGTCTCCTTTATCATTAGCCTTTAAAATAAGAAACAAAAGATGAAGAAATGGGTCAACACATACAGTAATTTATGTAAAAGTTAACAAATTGTAAATCCCTTTTACTTCTATAGGATTTTTTCTGCAATATCTAGCGCTTTTATGTGCTTGATGTTTGCATAGCCAGCAATTTTATGTCCCGGGTTCCTGGAGGAGAAATTTGGACATCAAACGACATAAAATAGAAAGTGGCAGTGTTATCTTAAAAACAATGAAACTGATGTGAAACCTGAGCTAAGGGCAAAACTAGGAGAAGGAAAGAAGGAGAGAAGAGCTAAGCAAAAGCAGAATGAAACCCTCAACTTAAAGAAGCACATAAAGCTCCAAATAGAGAAGATCCAGACAGCAGGCAGGTGGCATTTCTACACCGTAAGCATGGTTTAAAAGCTCTGTTACCCCAGAACATTTTTTTTTTTGTGATGGCTGAGTGCATTTCCTTAATTTCTTTCTAAAACAAATTCATTTCCGGGTTGTGACCCAACTTAAGAAGTTATTATTCAAAAGCTATTTTTCTGGAAAGATCTAAGCAACTGAAACTTTGGGCTTAGAAAGAAAGTGCCACCACCACTTTAACTATATCCCTGATACTGAGACTGTAAAAACTCATATAGATCTCTACTCTTATAGTAAACTACTGACATATAAAATATTTTTACAAAGAAGCTCCAAAAGCATTACAGTATCTTTCTAGCCATGTGCCATGTAAGTGCTCGATAAGCAAGGCTTGCTACTCCTCTCACTTACTCTGATGCAAATGAGGAGTAACTAATGTCAAAGAGTTACATCAGTTTAAGTGAAATTATAATCAAGCCCTTAACATATATTCCCCTTACTTTTGCTCTGCCTAAAAATGCAGCCTACAGGCTAACCACGTATTTAACAGCATTAAAGGCTGTAATTTATTTTTTTTACTAATTTATAAGCTGAGGAAAAAATCTTTGATGAAATCCTTGCCTCATGTAAGTCAATGGCAAAACTCGCATTGACTTCAATGGGTCTAGGACAGAGGTGGGCAAAGTTTTTGGCCCGAGGGCCATATCTGGGTATAGAAATTGTATGGCAGGCCATGAATGCTCACGAAATTGGGGGTTGGGGTGCGGGAGGGGGTGAGGGCTCTGGCTGGGGGAGCAGGCTCTGGAGTGGGGCCAGAAATGAGGAGTTCAGGATGTGGGAGAGGGCTGTGGGCTGGGGCAGGGGGTTGGAGTGGGGGGGGGTGAGGGCTCTGGGATGGGGCTGGGGATGAGGGGTTGGGGGTGCTGGAGGGTACTCCAGGCTGGGACCGAGGGGTTGGGGTGTGGGAGGGGGTCAGAGGTGCAGGCTCCAGATGGCGCTTAACAGTGGCATGTCCCACCCTCCGGCTCCTATGTGGAGGCATGGACCCCACTCCCCAGTGGGAGCTTGAGGGCCAGATTAAAACGTCTGAAGGGCTGGATGTGGCCCCCAGGCCATAGTTTGCCCACCTCTGGTCTAGGATTTCACCCCTTGTGTGTACATGTAATTTCAAAACACAGTCACACCAAGTAACCTCTTATTTTGAATTTGATGAGGCAAAGTGGGAAGAGACACTGATGTGAATTTAAAAGAGTAGTAGAAATTCCAATCATCTTCATACATGCAAACATCACCTTGACTTCTATAACTCACATTGCACTGAATTAACACTATAAAATACTGATACATTTTATAAGTCTCAAAGGATGCAGTTCAGAGCACACAATTTCAGGAGTAAAATAGAGAAAAGCATGCCAGGAAGGGACATCTATAAAGAACAGGAAATTACTTTCTAAATTTTCAATTATCTTGATTACATACAGCATGTCTAATAAGATTTTTCCTCAAACTCTGTATATGAAGTGACGACAAGCAATTTACTGAGTTGCTGTGAAATGTTCGTGCAATTTCATCATACTGTTTACTGTAATGGTGCCCCCACCAGACATTATGGCCCCAATCCTCCACACTTACTTACATGCTTAACTTAATGCATTGTGCGAAGTTTCATTGAGGTAAATGGGACTACTTATACTTCATAAAGGTAAGCAAGTCTTTGCAATATCAGGGTCTATGATAACCAGATGGCAATGCCCATGAACAAAGATGGGTGCTCAACTTGAAACACTTTAATGGGGCCTGATTTTCAGAAAGGGCTAAGCAGTCACCCAGACCCCTGAAAATCTTGGCCTCAGTTAGTATTGAGCACAACATAGGAGCACCACTTCTGCTTCATAAAAAAATACACTAGATACCAAGAAAGGTTGTGTAAGTGTTGACAGTAAGGGTGACTAAGCTAAATTTTACAAGTAATGTTGTACAAATAAAGATATTAACAGTTGACTTCACTTAAATTATTTGGCGATAGGCCTCAAACCTTAAAGTTCAGATTATAATTTTCTGAAGTTTGGAGGTGTTCAGTTCAGACCTGCATCTAAAGCTATTAGATGATTTGTTACACACACATACCAACAGTCAGTTGCTTATTAACAGGCTAAAAGGAATATACTGCATTCCAGTTGCAGATGTCCAAATATAAGCTTCCCATGATTTTGGTCCCTGAACACTGACAATAACCAGAACAGTTTTTCTGTTACCTTTAGTGCCTTGTTGTAAAATATCCTAGCAATCCTAGAATATTCTGAGGTCTTAAGATCAACACCACCTCCTGGGAAAAGTACCCTGAAAAACAACAAAGTATTATTACATGTAAATAACTATAGGTCTTAGTCATAATATAATGTATAAATATGGACAGGGCTGATAAGAACCCTGAGGCATAAATTCACTGAAGGCAAACATCAGACCATATGATCACAATGTCTATGTGCTACAGTAAATTTCAACACTTTAAAAAAAAGGGGAGGGGAGGGTGGCCGCTGATAATAATTAAAGATATTTTCAGAGTGAGAAGAACCTGAAGCTAAAACATACAAGCCTTACAAGATAAAAGGCCATATATAGCATTCTGATCCAAGGCTTCCATATTATGATTCAATGGACGCAGTTACTTTCTTTTACTGATTTTATTTATTATTTATATAGAGTCAGATTCTCACAGCCCTTACTTAACAGAACAGGGCAGCAAGACAGGGTATGGCTGACCCTTACTCACTTGTGCAGCCCTCCTAAGATTGCGACTCTGATCACAGATGAGTGGGGATGAAAGGTAAGCAGCAGCTACTTGACCATTACTCCCGTTTGCAAGTATCTGGGTGGCGAGGGGATAAAGAGTGGGAAAAGACTTGATTCTTCCCTCTCCAATAGCCAGCCAGATATGCCCATTTACACAGGGCAGAAAATGAAGTTACAGTAGAACCTCAGAGTTACGAACACCAGAGTTACGAACTGATAGGTCAACCACACACCTCATTTGGAACTGGAAATACAATCAGATAGCAGCAAAGAAAACAACAATAAAAAAAGCAAATATGGTACAGTATTGTGTTAAACGTAAACTACTAAAAGTATAAAAGGAAAGTTTAAAAAAAAAGAGATTTGACAAGGTAAAGAAACTGTTTCTGTGCTTGTTTCATTTAAATTAAGATGGTTAAAAGCAGCATTTTTCTTCTACATAGTAAAGCTTCAAAGCATTTTTCTTCTACTTATTAAGTCAGTGTTCAGTGTTAAACTTTTGAAAGAACAACCATAGCATTTTGTTCAGAGTTACAAACTCCATTCCTGAGGCGTTTTTAACTCTAAGATTCTACTGCACCATCTAGCTCAAAATGCAAGTGTGTTTGGCATTCTACAGAACATAAAGACATTGTCCTTGTCACAAACAATCTGCAATCTAAAGACCTAGCCACCTTTACTCACGTTGAGTCACATCTTACTCCACAAGAAATCCCATGGAAACTATTCATGGAGTAAAAAATCATTCAACCTGAGTAAGGGTGGCAGAATCAGGCCCTCAGTTGACACAATACCATAAGGGATGAGTTGAGTGGAGCAAGGAACATGGGAGAAAAAGTTTCAAGGAGGAAGTGGGGGAGAAAGAGGGGAAGACAGGAAGAAGGGTAGAGGAACCATGGAGAGGGTTGGAAGAGGAGACAGAGGAGAAAGGAGGGGAACAGTGAGTAGGCAAGCTGCAAGGACTGTGAAATAGCTTTGGCAAAATGAAGGCCATCGCTGAAAGGGGATACAAACAATATGAGAACAGTGAAAGTAGGCTGCTGGCTTCCATTCAAATGCTGCTCCTATCAGCCTGCACATAGGCAGAAAGGGGTGCCAAAATAAGTAGGGCTGTCAAGCAATTAAAAAAGTTAATCACGATTAATCACGTGATTGCTCACGCTGTTAGACAATAATAGAATACCATTTATTTAAATATTTTAGGATGTTTTCTACATTTTCAAATATATTGATTTCAATTATAACACAGAATACAAAGTGTACAGTGCTCACTTTATATTTATTTTTATTACAAATATTTGCATTGTAAAAAACAAAAAAATTATTTTTCAATTCACCTCATACAAGTACTGTAGTGCAATCTCTTTATCATGGCAGTTGAACTTACAAATGTAAAATGATGTACAAAAAAACTGCATTCAAAAATAAAGCAATGTTAAACTTTTGAGCCTACAAGTCCAACCAGTCCCTACTTCTTGTTCAGCCAATCACTCAGAATTTGCAGACTATAACACTGCCCACTTCTTGTTAATGTCACTTGAAAGTGAGAACAGGCGTTCGCATGGCACTGTTGTAGCCAGCGTCACAAGATATTTACGTGCCAGATGCGCTAAAGCTTCATATGATACGCCTGAGGGCATTCTGCACCAAAAAATTAAAAATTCAGCACACAATATTTTAAAATTCTGCAAGTTTTATTTGTCAATAAATAAATGCAGAGGCTCCAGCATGGCAACGGGGATCACAGGCTACTGGCTGTATGAAGGTGGGGATCACCCTGCAGCTTCCTCGGGACATGGACTCAGTGGTGAGGCTGCACCCAACCCTGACACAGCACAAGGCCTGGGCCTGCCCCAGAAACACTCTGGGGCCCTGACGCCCTGCACCAGGTTTGGAGCAGGCAGGCTCAACCAGGCAGGATCCAAGTGTTGAGGGGCTCAGTGTGGGGGGACCCAGGTGTGGGGTGAAAGGATTCTGTGTGAGACTATCTAGGTGCAGGCAGCTCAGTGGGGGGGTCTAAGTGTGGGGGATCTGGATGCACAGAGGCTCACTGAGGGGGTTCTAGGTGCAGGGGCAATGGGACTCTGCAGGAGCTTCCAAGTGAGAGTGGTTGGGGCTCAGCGGAGAGGTCTTGGTGTGGGGATCTCAGCAGGGGTGTCTGGGTGCTGGGGGAGTGGGGCTTGGTGGGGTAGGGATCTGGGTGCAGCTAGTTGGGAGTCAGTGGCATGGGGATCTGGATGTGGAGGCTCAGGGGAGTTCAGGGGGGTGGGGCTCATCAGGGTAGGGGGTTATGTGCAGGGAGCTCAGTGGAAGGTGGTCTGGGTGCAGGGAGGCACCAGATGCAGGGGTTGAGGTTCAGTGGAGTGGGGTTCGGGTATGGAGGGCTAGGGTGGTTCTGGTTGTCTGGGGTGAGGCTTGGTGTGGGTGTCTGGGTATGGGAGGTCCAGATGCATGGGGGTTGGGCGGATGGGGGAGCAGCTCCCCGTACAGTGACCCCTCCCTCCGCAGATGAGGAGTGATGGGGGCAGGAAGCAGGAGAGGATGCTGCAGCTGGGGGAGGTTTCTGGGGGTGGGTCAGACACAGCCCCAGCCACTCCTTGAGGGGGAGGCGAAGTCCGGTCCTCTCCTGCCTCCAGCCCAGCCAGGATTAACAGCTGATGCCGGCTCAGGGTAGGAGCCACTGGCTTGGGTGTCCCCACCCCTGCAGCGATTTCCCTCTCTGACAGCTGCCTGAAAGGATGAACCTGCACAGCTAGGGACTGGTGTGTGACTGCTCTTGCAGATTCCCTTTGCTTCCCTGTCAGAAAGTCATTTTTCTGGGAGGATGCAAAGAAATCTGCAGGGAACATGAATTCTGTGCACGCGCAGTGGCGCAGACTTCCCCTAGGAGTAATATGTCCCTTTATCTTCAACCACCATTCTAGAGGACATACGTCCATGCTGATGACAGGTTCTGCTTGATAACGATCCAAATCAATGCAGACCGACACATGTTCATTTTCATCATGTCAGTCAGATGCCAAAAGGTTGATTTTCTTTTTTGGTGGTTTGGGTTCTATAGTTTCTCTCATCAGAGTGTTGCTCTTTTAAGACTTCTGAAAGCATGCTCCACAGCTCATCCCTCTCAGGTTTTGGAAGGCACTTGAGATTCTTAAACCTTGGGTGGAGTGCTGTAGCTATCTTTAGAAATATCACATTGGTACCTTCTTTGCATTTTGTCAAATTTGCAGTGAAAGTGTTCTTAAACCGAACAACATCATCCGAGAGTGCTATAACATGAAATATATGGCAGAATGCGAGTAAAACACAGAGCAGGAGACATACAATTCTCCCCCAAGGAGTCCAGTCACAAATTTAATTAACGCGTTATTTTTTTTAACAAGCGTCATCAGCATGGAAGCATGTCCTCTGGAACAGTTGCCGAAGCATAAAGGGACATATGAATCTTTAGCGCATCTGGCACATAAATATCTTGCGACACCGCCTACAACAGTGCCATGCGAATGCCTGTTCTTTCAGGTGACACTGTAATTAAGAAGTGGGCAACATGATCTCCTGTAAATGTAAACAAACTAGTTTCTCTTAGTGATTGGCTGAACAAGAAGTAGAACTGAGTGGACTTGTACGCTCTAAAATTTTACATTGTTTTGATTGCAGTTATAAAACAAACAAACAAAATCTACATTTGTAAGTTGCACTCTCATGATAAAGAGATTGCACTACAGTACTTGTATGAGATTAACTGAAAAATACTATTTCTTTTGTTTATCAGTTTTACAGTGCAAGTATTTGTAATAAAAATAATATAAAGTGATCACTGTACACTTTGTATTCTGTATTGTCATTGAAATCAATATTTTTGAAAATGTAGAAAAACATCCAAAATATATAACACATTTCAACTAGTATTCTATTGTTTAACAGTGCAATTAAAACTGTGATTAATCACGATTAATTTTTTAAATCACGATTAATGCACACACCTGCAAGAAAGAAGAAGATTACACTCACATTCCCTACTTAGAAAAATGAAGTATCTGAGTCTGGAATCACCAAAGGCAAAACCAAGAACTTAACAGTAAAACAACAGTGGCTTTGATAACATCTGTTTTAGAGAGACTTTGTGTTAATGGACATTTCAACAGAAAACTGATGCTCAAAGCTTACCCATTAATAGACTGGAAAATCTTATCATACTCTTCTTCTGAACGATTTAGTCTGAAATCCCAACAAAGATAGTTACAGGTATGTCTGAAACGTCATCACATTTTACTATTAAAATACCAAAGATACTTAATACAAACCATCTTCAATGGGCATGGAAAGTGTATAAAAAACATGTATGAAAACTAAAGAAGAAAGAAATTCTAGATCACTAAAAGCCAAAATCTGCCCCCACACTCCGCCCCCCACTGCTATGAATGGTACCTTACTCTTCCGGTAGTCTATGAAGCATGTACGACTACAAAATGTGGAAAAACTGGCTAGGTGGCAGCAGTGTTAAAAGGAGCTGGGGGTTACAGTGGACCAGAAATTGAATATGAGTCAACAATGTGATGCAGCTACAAAAAGCTAATAGTCTGATGTGTATTAACAGGAGTGTCATATATAAGTCACGGGAGGTAATTGTCCTGCTCTTTTCAGTGCTGGTGAGACCTCAGCTGGAGTACTGGGTCCAGTTCTGGGTGCCACACTTTAGGAGATATGGACAAATTGGGGAGAGTCCAAAGGAGAGCAACAAAAATGATAGAAGATTTAGAAAACCTGACCTATGAGGTTAGAAAACCTGTGTACGTCTACTATTGAGAAAAGAAGACTGAGTGGGGGGACCTAATAACAGTTTTCAAATATGCTAACAGCTGCTATAAAGAGGACGATGATCAATTGTTCACCATGACCACTGAAAGTAGAACAAGAAAGGACTGGCCTTAATCTATAGCAGGGGTCGGCAACCTCTGGCACGCGGCTTGCCAGGGTAAGCACCCTAGCGGGCCGGGCCAGTTTGTTTACCTGCCGTGTCAGCAGGTTCGGCCGATTGCGGCTCCCACTGGCCGCGGTTCACCGTCCCAGGCCAATGGGGGCTGCGGGAAGCGGCACGGGTGAGGGATGTGAGCCCTGAGCCCACTCCCGCACTCCAAACCCCTTGGCCCTGGCCTAGAACCCTCTCCTGCACCCCAAGCCCCTCATCCCCAGCCCCACCCCAGAGTCTGCACCCCGAGTCGGAGCCCTCACACCCCTGTCCCAGCCCAGAGCCTGCTCCCGCCCCCTGAATCCCTCATTTCTGGCCCCACCCCGGAAGCATGGGGAAGTCCTGAGCCTCGCCCCCCTCCTACCACACACACACGCACAAGCACACACTCCCACAGGGCTGTGTGTGGCCCGTGACTGATTTTTTCTGTGGATCAGTGGCCCCTGATTGAAAAAAGGTTCCCCACCCCTGCCCTACAGCCATGCATGGATGTGACCATCTGCATGCAGACCTCACCCTTTTCACACAAAAGTGGGGGCTCCACCAACTTCTTAATCCTGTCTCCACACCTGTCAGCCTCAAAGAATTTAGAAAAGACAATACAGTCTGCATGGCCCCTCACACCAATTCATTAGGCTTTGGGAACAACCCCTGTTGGTGTGTCTCCTTTCGAGCCATGGTGCCAGAGTGGTGCAGAGGCATAGGGCAGCCATGTGAGTATATGATTAACAGTGATTTATAAACATGAGATCTTATTCCATTCTCACACGGGTTTTACGGTTCACTAACTTCAGAGTAGTTACTCCTGATTTACACCTGTATCAGCAAGGTCAGAATTGCCCCACTTGTTAAACACACACTCTGACTATCACCTGCCACATTCACAGTCCTAGCTTTCTCAATTTGCCCCATCCACCTTTTTAGCTTAGAGCCAGTCTCTGTGGACAAGGAGCACATTTTGCCTCAGGTTCTCAGATCAAAGTTCCAGGGAGATTCAGAAAGCTGGGGAAGACCAATGGGATCCTCAAAACATTGGCTATGAAGAGTGATTTCATGCAGGTTTGACACTTGGTTGTGATCTTGTTTTGTATCAGCATCTAACTACTATTTTAATTCCTACTAACATTGTATTTGCTGTTATAGTTTTACCTTTTACTGTTGGCCACAAAGTTCTTTTTCTGGCATCAGCCTATTGCCTGCATAAGCCAGAATGTTACTCTGATCCAGAACCTGGAATAGTTGTAAAACATAGACCTCTTTGTAGTAGTAGTTAGTGAGCCAGAGTATGAGAGGAATCAGATCTGGACACTTCAAGCACTAGTGGCAGTCTCCCTCCATTCCCTGAGTCCTAGCATTATTTATGTACACGTGGCAATATATGGCCCTGAAGGCAATAGCATGTATTTGGAAACTTCACAGACCACAGCTAGCAACTGGTACATATGTTAAGTCTGAAGATGAAGAAACACTTTTAATATATTGCATTGGCAGGCACCAGCTTGCTGTGAGTCTAGCCTCCATTCCTAGAGATCTTGCAAAATTCTGTGCACCTTCTTTAGTCTGTAAGGAATTGAAAGTACAAAGTGAGTCAGCACTTACACATTAAGCACCTCTCAAGGGTAGGTACATATGCAGTACAAAAAGCCTGGAACTACCACACAGCCTACCTTATTGGCACAACTCGTGCACCAGCAGATTCTAGGAACTTCACATATGAAGCAGCAATGTAGGAACTTCCAAATCTATGGAAACTTGTGAAGTCACACTCCTGTGCCAATATCCCTACAGTGTCCAGAAAACAGAAAGGATTGCTGCTATACAAATTACAGTAGTTATAGTGCAGAAGGAGGCAAATTAAATAAAAACTCTCATTCCTTTCACTAACTGAATTGATTCATACACTACAGCGAGTAGTATTATACGTAATGATTTACCACGAACTATGAGAAAATTGAAATAATAAGCAAACACGCTTGCTTAGTAATGGGGTATCAAATAAAACCATTTTAACAGTTTGACTTTAAAATCCCTGCCTTATTTGATTAGTTCCACAACTTCTTATAAACATATTTTATTTATCAGGGCACTTTAAAGACAAGGTCCCAGCTCCAAAGAGTTTAAAATCAAATCCACTGGCCCCACACAGAGTCCCATAGAATCAAGAGGATTCCATAAGAGTTCAGTCTCATCCACACAGATTGGATTGCAATAGTGGGACCATAGTTATATGTATCAGAGTTGAAATGAAAGGCAACACAGGCTATTTACTGTACATCTAATGAATCTGTTGCAGGCTATTTTGTGGTGGCATGCAGTGTTTTAGAATTTTCCATGTTCACCTTTTTATGGATTATTTCTATTTTCAAAAACAAAAACACCTGAGATACTAAAAACCATATCTTAAACATTAGCCATACAAAAACCTACAATAAGGTCCATTTGTAATTCTAGAACGAATACCATTTTAGGCCCTAATCCTTCAAAACCACTTACTCTTGTACTGTACTTTAAGCATGTGAGTAGTCCCATTAAAATCACGATTTATGTGCTTCAAGTTAAGCACCTGTATGTCTGCAGGATTGGGCCTTGCCTTAGACAATATCTTTTCATGAGGATTTACACAAAGATACTTGGACATTTTCTAAATATCCATTATGCAGCACACAGCCAGACCAGAACACTGCATTAGAACATTTTCTAGACTGTTGTGCAACTGTGCCACATGACTTACTGCATCTCAGCTTCTGGAAACAGCAAAAGTGAAAAAAACTATTTTGCTGACTAATTGCTCACCATTTACTCACACATGGAAAGCAAAGCCAGCTAAGCTATTGATAGCAAGACCTGGTAATAAACAAACCAGCTCTGGAAAAGGAAACTTTAAAAAAAAAAATCAACACCTGTTCTTACTTCAAACGGGAGAAGAGGGGCTTTTCTGAAAAAGTTGTGAGGGCAGGTGGGGGGAGGGGAATCCTGAATGTCTCTGTGCCTCAGTTCCCCATCCATAAGATGGAGATAACTGTACTTCCTTAGCTCTTGGGTATTCTGAAGATGAATACTCTAGTAGGGCTAGTCTACACTAGAAGTGCTACATCAGCGCAGCTGCACATCTGGTGAAGATGCTCTATGCCGAACAGAGAGCTCTCTCTCGTCAGCATAATTACTCCACCTCTGTGCGAGGCGGAAGGTATGTCGTCAGGCGAGCCTCTCCTGCTGACATACCACTGGCATGGACAGTGCTGAGGTCGCTGTAACTTACGCCGCTCAGGGAGGTGGCTTTTTCACATCCCTGAGTGAGGTAAGTTATATTGACTTAAGTGATAGTGTAGACCTACCCTAAAATAGTGTTTCTAAACGACAGATCTGGCGCTGGTCCCTGAGATCTCCCTGATAGTTTAGGAAGGCAGCAAGCCAGCCCCGGTATCAAAAAGGTTGAGAAACACTGCTCTAAAGATGATGAAGTGCTCAGATCCTACAGCAGTGGGCGTAGCTAAGTGCACTGGATAGATACAGTAGAATAGTCTTACACCTGATGGGTCAGTGCAGGCTATACTGTTATTGCTGAGGCTGACACCATCCTAACAGGCGAGACGGGTAGGCAGTGAGAAGATGGCCCCTTCTTAACACAATGAAGCTTCGTACTCAGGATGTCAACACCGCCCTCCCCACAGGGGTGTCAGAGCGGGGAGTTTTGGAGGAAGGAGAAGGTATTTTTACCTTATTTTATGCATTCCCTCAACTGACCCTCTCGTGTTAACGTCTGTCCTAACCACCCTCTGCTCCCTCCTCTGTCCTACCGGCTACAAAGGTGCGTGTTGCTCTCCCTCCCTGCGTACACAGGGGCACACCCCTCCCGCACGCAGCAGCAGGGGCTCTAACGGTGCCCGCCGCGCCCTCGCTCCCTGCCCCTGCGCTTCTTACCAACGATGGGTTTCTCGTTGCTGCCCCCCCGGCGGCTCCGCGACACCACAGAGGCCAGAGCATTGGCGCAGAGGAGCAGCAGCAGGAGGAGGCAGACGCCCGGCGGGGAGCGTGTTCCGGAGTAGCGCAGCATGACTCCCTCGCCGCCGCCCGGCCCCGCACTGGCTCTGCGGCTGTACGGTGCAGCAGTGCCCCGAGCGCACCGCCCTTCCTGCGGGGCGGGCACCGCCTTCCCCGGCTGCACCCTGGGAAACGTAGTTCCGCTGCGGGGCTCCGCCAAAGGAACGGGCTCTGCGGGAAGGGGCAACACGGCCTCCCCCACGTGCCCGAAACCCCGGGGCCAGGCAGTCAGAGCCCCTGGGCAAGCTGGGCAGCCCCAGCGGATGGTGAGATGAGCTGGAGACAGGGGAAGAGCAGGTGTAAACACGAGAGCAGAGAGCTTGAGCTGTACCAGTGTCTGGGCCCCTCCATCCCCTTCCTGCTGGCTGGCTCCTCCCAGGTGTGTGTGCTGCGACCGACGGACTGTCCTGGGGCAGGGGCATCGCTGGCTCGCTCTGTTACCCTGGGAGGAAAAGCGGGCAATAGTCATTATGTCAAAGGCTCCCTCACTTCCTGCACACACAACTCTTTGGACCACTTTTGTACTGTATTGTTTTCTGGCTCTGTCTTAGTGTATTGTTGTAGATCTGTGTGGAAGGGGTTTGCACTATCAGGAATTCTGTCATCGGGGACTACAGCTCTTCTAAGGCATCTCAGTGCTTTCTCAAGTGGATGAGCTATTTAAAACTTAGCTCCAGTTCAAGAACTAAAAATAGCAGGCTCTTCTTTAAAGGATTGTGGTTTCTCTATGTCTCTTTCCTCCCCTCAAAGTGAGTGCACTCAGGTAAACTCCAAATGCACAAATGCAAACATATTGTTCTTCGGTTGTAGTTGAAAGTGCGATTGTTGTCTTTGTTGTCAACAAACCCTGAATGCAGCCTAAGAACACAGCTGTGAAATCTGACATGATGTTCACCGGCTGCCACTTTCACTTTGCCAGATCATCTCTGAAAAACTGATTAAAAGTGCACCACTCTGAGGCCTTGGCTACACTTGCAGATGTACAGCGCTCTGAGGCTAGGTCTACACTACCTGCCTGAATCGGCGGGTAGAAATCAATCTCTCGGGGATCGAATTATCGCGTCTTGTGGGGACGCGACAATCGATCCCCGAATCGACGCTCTTACTCCACCAGCGGAGGTGGGAGTAAGCGCCGTCGACTGGGAGCCGCGGAGGTCGATTTTGCCGCCGTCCTCACAGCGGGGTAAGTCGGCTCCGATATGTCGAATTCAGCTACGCTATTCGCGTAGCTGAATTTGCGTATCTTAAATCGACCCTCCATAGTGAAGACCTGCCCTGTGTTAAACCTGACTTCGTGCAGCTGAGTAGGGAAAGCTCTGCAGTCTGTCCACACTGACAGCTGCCCAGCGCACTGTCGTGGCCACATTTACGGCAATTGCAGTGCTATTGGGAGCGGTGCATTACGGGCAGCTATCCCACAGAGCACCTTTTCCCATTCTGGCACTGTGGGTTGTGGGAAGGGGGCGTGGGTGCGGGGGATTCTGGGTCCTGTCCCAATGCCCCGTGATGCATCGCTTCGCATCCCAGAAATTCCTTTGTTTCCATCCACCTTTGGTGCCATCTTTCAACGGTTTCTGTGCAGCGCGATCTGTCTGCGGGAAATGGAGTCCGAACTGCTGAGGCGTATGCTGACGAGTCTCGCCAGCACGTCACGTTTGGCTGTCGAACTATTCCTTAAGATCCAAAGTGAGAGTGAGGGTGAGGAGTCCGACGATGCTATCGAGCCGCATAACGCGTACGACACGAAATTGCTTGTGGCATTCACGGACATGCTCAGCACCGTGGAACGTCGCTTTTGGGCTCAGGAAACAAGCACCGAGTGGTGGGATCACATCGTCCTGGAAGTCTGGGATGATGAACAGTGGCTGCAGAACTTTCGGATGAGAAAAGCCACTTTCACGGGACTGTGTGAGGAGCTTGCCCCCACCCTGCGGCGCAAGGACACGAGATTGAGAGCTGCCCTGCCAGTGGAGAAGTGGGTGGCTATTGCAATCTGGAAGCTGGCAACTCCAGACAGCTACCGGTCGGTCGCAAACCAGTTTGGAGTGGGAAAGTCGACCGTTGGAATCGTGTTGATGCAAGTTTGCAAGGCCATTAATCGCATCCTACTCAGAAGAACCGTGACTCTGGGTAACGTGCAGGAAATAGGGAAACCCATTTGTGCAAAGCCATCCACTAACTGTGGAGGGGCGATAGATGGGACGCACATTCCTATTCTGGCACCACCCCACCTAGGATCCGAGTACGTTAATCGGAAGGGGTATTTCTCTATGGTTCTCCAGGCGCTTGTGGATCACCGTGGGCGTTTCATTGACATTAACACAGGCTGGCCCGGAAAGGTGCATGACGCACGCATCTTTCGGAACACTTGGCTGTTCAGGAAGATGCAGGCCCGGACTTTTTTCCCAGAGCGGAAGATCATGGTAGGGGAAGTTGAAATGCCCATTGTGAGCCTTGGAAATCCCGCTTACCCGTTAATGCCGTGGCTCATGAAACTCTACACAGGGAGCCTTGACAGCAGCAAGGAACGGTTCAACTACAGGCTGAGCCGGTGCCGAATGACTGTGGAGTGTGCCTTTGGCCGTTTAAAGGCCCGCTGGCGATCTCTGTATGGGAAGCTGGACTTGGCCGAAAACAGCATCCCCGCGGTTATATCCGCCTGCTGTGCCCTCCATAATATTTGTGAAGGGAAGGGTGAAAGCTTCACTCAGGCATGGACCTCTGAGGATCAACACCTGGAGGCTGAATTTGCACAGCCAGAGAGCAGGGCTATTACAGGGGCCCAGCACGGGGCTGCAAGGGTTAGGGATGCCTTGAGGGAGCAATTTAAGGCTGAAAACCAGCAGTGATATCTGGTGCCCTGCACGGGAGTGAAGTGCAGTAGTTCCAATCTTTAGGAATCAGTGTTTGCTAAGCAGACAAGCAGACTTGCAGTGCCTGTTTATTTCCTGGGCTAAGGAGTCTTTTACTTTATGCAATAATAAAGAATGTTTTCAAAGCCAAAAAATCCATTTATTGAAAAGAAACAAGGGGGTGGAGTGGGGAACAGTACAATCACAGATTCGCGTATGTCCTGTCTGGTGTGCTGTGCAGTGAGTGCTGCACTTCAGGACAGCTATACTGCATGGTGATGGGGGTTGAGTGCAGAGGGTAAGGGTCGTGGTTTTCAGGGCTGGGTGGTGAAGATACTGGTGTTGGAGGCAGCGGGTGGCGTGAAGAACACGGAAGTTCGGGAAAGTGGGTTGGAGGTGACAGTGGGGCACAACGGAAAGAGTTTTGGGACAAGGGCTGTGTGTGGGGGGGTGGCGTTTGCGGTACTGCTCCTCTTTCTGCATGGCTACCAGCTCCTGGATAGCGTCTGCTTGGCGCTCCAGGATGCTTATGAGCCTATCAGTGCTTTGCTGCTGGTGCGCGGTGCTTTGCCGCCGGTGCGCTGCGTTTTCCTGGAGGATCCTGCTTTCTCTCTCCGTCCTGTTCTGTGCTCTCTCATTCTCTTTAATAGATTGCCGCATCACTTCTTGCAGCATGTCTTCTTTGCTTTTTCGCGGTCTCTTCCTGAGTCTTTGCAGTCTCTGAGCAGGCGATAAGAGGGACGGCTGAGGTCTCAAGGTTGATGCAGCTGTATAGGCAAAATGCAATATTTAACAGAGGCAGCATTGTTTATACCAGACAGAGTAATGATTCCTCCTGCACTTAAGGAGTAGAAAACACACAGGGTCTACACAATAGCATAATTTTCCCGTCCGAAACAGAGCACACATATCCCACGGGAGCCTCAAAATGGTGAGTAAGGGGGACTGATTGTTTCAGGGCTGCACTGTCCTCTGGGTTTGTGTGCCTTGGGGAGAGCCAACAGCTTCAGGGGGCACCTACACTGAACACTGTCCCAACATTTTCCACAGGAGTTCGTCCTGGACGATATCTCGCTTCTGAAGGTGACCTGGGAAGCAAGGGAGGGTCTTCTACTGCAATGCGGCTTCCGCCCTGGCCCGTATGCAGCTTGCCTGTGTGCAGCAATGGTCCCCCCCGCTCCTCGCGGCACAGTGGCGCGGACACGTTAGCCTGGCTGGGACAAGGACCACGGTGGCTCTCCCAATAAACCTGCGCAAGTGCATTGCACACGTTCTGGATGAGACATTCGAGGAGATTACTGAGGCCGATTACCGCGATGTGATAAACCACATCAATGCACTATTCCGCATCCTCTCCCAAAGAGCCCGCAACGAAAAAATTCCTTCCCGAAAAAAAAAAAAACGCTTACTGGGAACCTGCTCTTCTGTTTGTCCTCCACCAAGTACCTGCCGTTGCAACTGGCTACCTTCCTCCTGGCTCGAGAAGAGCTCCTGGCTGCATGGCTCCAGGGATTCCGGGGTGTCTCCATCCGGCCCACCACCATCACTCCTGTTTTCCTCCTCCTCCTCCTCTTCCTCCTCCCCTCCCCCACACCGTCTCTGAAGTGTCCATGGTGGTGCTCGGAGTGGAGGTGGGGTTAACCTCAAGTATCGCATCCAGCTCTTTGTAGAATCGGCAGGTCGTGGGGGGAGCACCCGAGCTGCCGTTTGCGTCGCAGGCTTTGCGGTAGGCACTCCGCAGCTCCTTCACTTTAATCCTGCACTGCAGGGCGTCCCGGTCGTGGCCCCTTTCCATCATGTCCTTTGATACCTTCCCGAAGGTATCGTAATTCCTACAGCTGAAGCGCAGCTGGGACTGTACAGCTTCCTCCCCCCAATCACTGATGAGGTTCAGCAACTCGCCATTACTCCATGCTGGGGCTCGCTTGGCGCGTGGAGGCATGGTCACCTGGAAAGATTCGCTGATAGCACTCCACGCCACGCCTGGCTGAGCAAACAGGAAGGGGATTTTTAAAATTCCCGGGGAATGTAAAGGGTGGGTCACATGGTTGGTTACCATGGATGGATACAATGGCATGTACACAATCCCCAGTGAAGTCAGCAATGCCCATGTGAGTTCAATGGGTGTTGTTAGATGTTCGGCTGTATGTGTGTGTTCCCCTTGTGTGCTGTCCCAGCTCTGCGCTGACAGCTGGCACAGCAGACCTCAAGCGAACCGCCCAATGACCACAAAATCCGTTAAGGTGCAAAGGTGCTTGGTCCAGTTTATTGTCAACGAAGCACAGTCCTAGCTCCCCAGATCAATGTCTACAGTTACAGTAGCACATGGATGCCTGTGACA